CCCCCCCGGCCGGCCTCGCAGTGTTGCAGTCCAGCCAGTTTGGGTTGGGTTTCAATTTTCAGGTCAACGAATCAAAAACCTTTCATGGAGATGCGGTATGACTTTGCCAAAGGTGGATTTATCTAGGTGCAGATGCAGGGATGCTGGGGTCGCGGCAGGTGGCAGGTGGCAGGAGGAGGGGAAGGGGCAGCCACCCCCTGACACACAGTTTGAGGGAGGGGGTGGGGGGCGGTGCGGGGAGTACGGCGTACCTGCGCCGGGGCGCTGCCGCCGCCGCCGCCACGCGCCACGCGCAGCCCAGATACACCACACCCCCGCTCGTCCAAAGTGCAGTGGAGCTTTGTATGGGGTCGGGGGGTGAAGGGGTAGCTGTAGCTGCTGCGAGCTGCTGCCATCAGAGCACATCTGAGTGGATCGATCAGCAGGAGGTTGCCCTGACGCCGCCGGCCGTGCCCGTTGCCCGTGCGCCTGTACCGCTCTCGCTGCGTCCGCACGTCCCCTTGACGCCAGGGTGCCGCGCTGCTGCTGCAGCTCCTCGCCGCTGCACTCGTTGGCCTCGCCCAGGTGACACCGCCACCCCGCGGCGGCGCCCCTCGCGTATCCCCATCCATCTGTCAGCCGTCCAATCGGCGCCTCCCACTGGCGACCCGCGGGGGGCTGGGGGGTGGCAGCAATCAATTGAAAGTCAGCAATGGCGCAGCGTTGCGCCCTATGGGTCGAGGAGCGCCTCTCTTACCGCAAATTATCACCTATGGTGGATTTACTTGGGATTTTACCGATTTTACCGCGTTTTACCAGTCACACGAAGGGGTCTGCCGTCCAGGTTGCCGTTGTCCAATTAGTAGAGTGCGGCTGTGCATTCCGAGGGGTTGGGAAAATCAACAAACCGTGACCACATCGTGGCCGCGCCGCACCTGGAGTGTTGGTGGAGGTCGTGGCCGTGACGCGTCGGAGCTTGGCCCTAAATAAATATTGAATGTTGAACTGCAGCTGTCCAGCTACTACTCTTCAGGAGGCTCTCTCAGGTCGAACCGCCGGGGGCTCAGCGGCGACGGGAACCGCGTGAGAACGTGGTGGCCAGGCTACCCCAGAGGTGGTCTCATGGTCTCATCGAGACCTCCGGGACTCGCTGCCGCAGGGGGTGGGTGGGT